AGTTCCTATTTAATCGCTTCGATATGTCACTGTTACGAATCGGTCGTTACTACTGGCTTGTTATTGGTCGCCCGAGAATTCGAGTGATGTCGTATTTAGAGCTTTGGGTAACCTCAGGTGTGGGTTTTGTGACCTCGCATCGATTGCCAGTGGTTACTCTAATTTGGATCAGGCTCACATAGCCGTAACTTTGTTCGGTGGTGCGGTCTGGGTCTCGGGATCACTTGGTACTGCGCGCGGTTTGGTTTCTTAGGCTCACGTCGTGTTGACTAATGTTGAGCACTTTCTTACCTACTTTGTCTTCCTCCGTGTTATACGGTTGGGCTTAATGCAGTTCAGGAGGATTGGCTGGGCTCGGTTGTGTAGTTGGGCAGTAGGTAGTTGATGCCAAACTGGTGATTTTCGGGTGTTTTGTGTAGAAACTGGAATTTTGTGTGCTATCTTGGCTGTAAATTACGATGGTTTGTTTGTCCGCTGCCGACACGCATCCTCTGGGCAGAAATCTTTGCGTCCCGTATAAATAAAATAATGACGTAGTATTTGGGTGAATATTTGCTTCTTCCCTGTGGGAGGTAGGCCAACGCAAGGCACTCGGCATAAATCAGCAAACCAAAGAGTCAGCGATAGTAGCGTTCACTCAGCAGCCTGGATTTGATTAGACTATGCGTTGTTCTATCGTCGCTTTAGCTGTATTCTCGGCAGCACTAGAAACTTTGACGGTACTCGTCCATTATATGTCTCTCCAAAGCACTTTATCACAGAGCGAATGCAATACGAAATTAGAGTTATAGCGATAAATTATCTACTGGCAAGTGCAAATTATCATTATTATTAAAGCTAGGACAACTAGCTTATAAAAGACTGGGAGTTAATGGTAGTAAGTTGGTTCAAGACTGGTTTGCCTTGTGTTAGCTTATCTCGTCATGTCAAATAAGTTACTTCTAATACTTTGGTTTAATTAACACACAAACCCCACCGAAGCACCATGTTACTTTCCTAAGTTCTTTGAGTGGTCAAACACCTTTTAACGTCTGAGATAATTTCCAATTCCCTGCGTGGACTGGCTAATTTTTGTTTCGGCATTCCTATATCCATATTCGCCCTTGATATCCGCGATGGCACTTGACGTTTTATCCGTTACGCATCTATGACTGGACTTCCGAAGTCTGACCCTAAGTATATTCGATGTAAAAAAACTTCTATCCCGTTTTACGCGTTTAAGCGGAAGGTAACCTCAAATTCACTTAGATTCGTGGGAAGACAAATGCATTTGATCAGTCTCATGAGAAGTGATGTATAGAATGAGCGCTTTGTGAGTGTTTACCTACGACGCAACTGCAATGTAAGATGTGCTAAGAAGAGGCCCATGAACCTCGCTCAAAAGGCATGAGGAACGGACGCATCACCGCGCTCATTTAATAGCCTGTAGGACTAAGACCACCTTGATATTGCATTTAAAATTTGCAGGGTGGGATGGCCATTGGGTAAGACAAAGTGCATCCTATTACCATCCTATTACCCTAACCCCTGTTTGCGGCCATCTTTTACAAGTGGATAATCTCAAAATTTAAGATTTAGCAGCTTTAGTTCATCTCAGTTCGTATAGCACATATTCTACTAGTCATACACTAGTTCGTGAAGATGATCCGGAGCTCTACGATGAGAACAAAAACGATTCACAGAGTACACATTAAACCTATGCATACAGTATCTCCATGTCAGTGGGATACATATTGTGAACTATCAATTTTCCTTTCAGGGAGGAGAGTACGGATACTTACTTTGATTAAATTCGGATATTTTCACCAATAACAGTTTGACTTTTAAATATATGCTGTTTAAAGTCCGATTACACTTCCAGTGGCATGTGCTTACTTATTAAAGACAGGAATACGTGGTGATGTATCATTTAGCTTTGACTGAAATTTTTAAAAGTGTTCAATTAATCGAAAAATTATTATGTGATTTTATATATGAGCCTGTTTGCAGGTAATCTTGCAAATAGGTTTGCAGAACTCAGCGTTTTTAACACCTATTTTAAAACCAAATATGTTTGAATGGACACTTGAGGTCATGCCAAGTAAAATTGACCAATCACTATCTAAAGTGACTTGGACAAGTCGTGATTTGGACCATGTATGGTTGAATTAAATTTGTTGTCTTAAACACATCTCAAATATCGTCTTCTTTGGCACTATGTTGTCTCAAGTTTGTTGCATGTCTATTACCGAAACCCTTTCTTTTGACCTAAAAATTGGCAGTTACTTGTGCTTCAAATTGTATGGCCGATTAACTTACGTTATTCGATTGATAGCAATAAGCCCAATACATTTGCTTTTTTTTCCCGGTGCCCAGGTAACTATTTATTTCATCGTAAAGTAATTATTTATGACTCATTTTGGTCACTTGATTTACAGATCATGTTTCAACTTAAGTGCGCATCGCAACGCTACGACTGGGGGAAGATAGGCCAGCAGAGCATCGTTTATGCACTACAGGTTGCTTCAAAACATCCGGACACCTTTCATGCTGATTTACCCTATGCGGAAGTAAGCACCTTCTTGTCTTACACGTTGTCGATTCTACGTGTTTAATGTGAATATTTTTGCTTTGGTATAAGGACGAGCCCACACAACCATCTAGTCTACTCCTTCTTCTAGTTATGGATGGGCACTCATCCATCGGGACCTTCCTTTCTCTGGGATCGTCCTGATATTGCTTTGGAAGCGTACATTCAAGAGAATCCTGCTTGTCTTGGAAACCCCTGTCTGCACTACTTTGGACGGAAGTTGCCCTTCCTCTTTAAGGTGCTTTCAGTTGCCAAGGCACTCTCTATCCAAGCACATCCTGACAAGGTAAGCTTAACTATTGTTGCGAACCGTCAAATGAGTTATTGCTCACTTTGTTTTAAAATGTGTTGCCTCTTCGCATTTTGTCATTGAGCGAATCGTTTTGTTCGTGTGTCTTATTTCTTCATTCAACCAGTAGTCTCTGTACATATTAGTTTCTATGACCAAGGCTGTTGTTTTTAAAAAAACTGATAATGCTCCTTCTTTACAAATTTTTGTTGTCTAGGTTTTTCCTCGCAGTATCGCAGCATTCCACGACGATAATTTTTGTCGAACTTTCCTTTTAGGCGTGCTCACCGTTAAGGCATTGTTAGTAAGCTAATTTATGTAACTTTCGATTAGCATATGATGATGGCGTTTTTTGTCTCACATCGTGGCGTCGTGCCATCGTAAATTAGGCCTTATTATTGTTCTGTTCTTTGGCAGCTTACTTCGTTA